AGGCCGGTAGGTGGGCTCCTGGGCAGCAGGTTCTCTCCTGCCAACCCTCCCTCTCTCATCGTGCCTCCAGCCTGGAGGTCTTGGCATCAAGTGAGTCACACCCCCTCTACCCCCTTTACCTTCTCCTCTCCTATCGCCGCCCCCCACCTGTTCAGTGCGTTTGTACAGTCAGAGGAGCTCAGCGTGTTGTGAACACAAAGCAGCGGCCCTGCGGCCCACGTCCTGGACCTCAGAGTCAGGAGCCAAGCTGAGAGAGAGAGAGAGACTGTGCAAACATGAGCGGGGAGAGCAGCTAAACAGAATAATTATACCCGGTGGGTAACAGTGCGAGCACCGTACGGGGGGCAGCGTGCTCGGACAGAGGATGGAGCGGCGCCGGGCCGTGCACGGCCACGGGCACGTTTGGTGAGCCACACTCTGAGACGTCCTGGTGGAAGTGCTGCAGGAGATCATCTGCTGAGGATGTTACTGAGAGGGGGAGAAGCACCGCAGCTTCAGTCCAGCACTGACATCTAAAAACACTGAAGGGAAATAAAATCAAAAGGGAAAGTTGTGAATTTATTCTGTAAAATAGAACAAATATTGAACATTTTTAAACCAAATACTTATCATTTAAATTATATTAATGTTATATATAAACACATATTAATGATTCATTTTATTTTTGTCATTCCAGGTGCCTTCAAAGTGCCTGAATAGTTGGAGAAAAACTTTAATTTACTGAAAGTTTAAATTAAAATAAACTCTTTATTAGTGTTAAATTATTTATAGATGCATGGCCTAAAAAATAAACAGAAAAATAAACTATTTTAAATGAAATTCTGCTCTTGCACAAAAGAACTGAATGACAAAGTACATTTCTTGTTGAGTATAAATGAGAACAGCAGGTGGAAAATACACCACAAGAACGTCTTTAATTGATTTATTGATTTATATTAGTGAGCTTCCCAGACGCTCGTTTTGCTGCATGAAGAAGTGTCAAATAAAAAAACTGAATTCACTTAATAGACCCTGTGAGAGTAAGATGGAGGGAAACACGATCCGCTCTCGTGCACGGCGCTCCTGCTGCAAACTGCAGCCAACATCAGGAAACAAAAAGACTTTTTGTTTTCCTCGTTACGTTGACGTTGGCCTGGCTTGACTTTTTTATTACTCTTTAACAAATCACTTTAAATAAGCTTCTGTCCTTCTGTTTAATGCAGACTTTATGTTAAAAAAATATTTTATCATCTTCTAAATGAAATGTGCATGAAACTCAGTGTTTTGTTCATGCATGATCAAAAAAATACATTCTATGTTGTTAAACTTTATTTTTTTATGACGAGTAAATAGTTTGACAGAAGGAATGAGTCTTATTGATTGACTCCTCTTGTTTGTGGTGAAAGACAAAAAACCTAAAGTCGTCGTATCTTAATGTTCATTCTTTATTAAAGGTGGATTAATATTTTAATATTCATGTTCTTAAAACAAATTCACTGTACGTTTCTTTGTCGTCACTTTTCAGAGGCTTCATACATTCAAAGAGGAGCGAAACGAATCGATGCATTTGCAGCACTTTGCTTTAAATGTGAATTTTCTGCTGATTTTGGTGAATAGCTGCGCCGTTTGTTGAGGAGTGGCCTGAAAAAAATGCAAAACACTTTAACAAACTGAGACAAAAACATAAAAACCTTTAAGGAGCACATTCTGTAAAAAACTGGAGTCACATTGAAATTATTCAGGTACTTAAATCATGAGACACTGCTGATTATTACTGTGTATTATTACTGTGTTTGTCTGTGTATTATTGGTGTGTATATCTGTGTATTTATACTGAGTATATCTATGTATTATTACTGTGCTTTATGTGTATTATTGGTGTGCATATATGTGTATTATTACAGTGTATATCTGTGTATTATTACAGTGTTTATCTGTGTATTATTACTGTGTTTATCTGTGCATGTCTGTGTATTATTACTGTGCTTTATGTGTATTATTACTGTGTATATCTGTGCATGTCTGTGTATTATTACTCTGCTTTATGTGTATTATTGGTGTGTATATCTGTGTATTTATATTGAGTATATCTATGTATTATTGGTGTATACATCTGTGTATTATTACT